TTCATATATAGAACTCTACTATCAACAGACAATGCACAATTGTATACAAAGTAGAAACATCCCCCCCACCCCTCCAAAAAAAAACAAAACAAAAAAAAAACCCTCAGTCCATTTCAGGAGGGAACACAAGGCAATATCAACAAAATTTACAAAATGATAAACAAATACAACAACAGCTAAAAATGGTCATGACGTCCCCGCAAAGAAGGTTCATAGAAAAGTTTGTGCAAGGAAGATCAATGTCATTCATGTCAAAACGTCCAGAAAACAAAATCCACATTTGCGCGCTCACGGTTACCAATTCAGACGGTTTTGCGAAGGCGACATGAACAGGAAGAACGTCAACGACAATTTTCATCCGACTCCGGCGACACTCTCGTAAACATGAAGGAACCCGCCAAATACTTTCAGACAAACTGAACTTCCCTGTATAGCCATTCAAATACCCGTTGACAGACTTCAAAATGTTGATTGGCGTTAAGAAGACTTTTAATCATATGGGACATCGGATGCTATTTGGAATCGTACTTAACTGCGGTGGTGCCTTGAGACACGAGTTCTTCGAGATACGATCTGTCGCTGGGGGCGATTTCTTACTTGAAACAGCCACATAACTTAAAGTCAGCTAGCTTAAGCGCTAACACATGTCGGCAAATGCCTACGATGGGCGTACAAAACTAGCTTCAGTGTGAAACAGCGATTTAATCCGTGGAGCAAGACATGTCGACATATCCAGAAAGGGCGACTAACATCGGCCCATTTAAATGACTCTAAAATTGGGAAATATGGGTTGATTGAACGCTAACAAATTACAACATGAGTCGAAGTGAATGACATTCAAACATTCTCCGACAATTTTTCTCACTGTTCACAAACACTATCGGACCAAGTATTGTAAAATGCTCAAATGTTCAGCCTGTAAATCGTACCTTTAACGGCATAAGCGATAAGGGACCTAAAATATGCTAGTTTATTCATTCTATCATATTTTTAATGAATCGGGCCGATTAATCTGTTATGGGAATCTTAGCATGCCAAATATCGGAATCGGGCTCAAGACATCCAAATCAGGCGGAAGCCGCAACCGCACAATATCCATCTCTCTCTACGATACTGCCCCCCGGTGGCCAAGGCACGCACACCAGAAGGGAGAGCACAATAGCCATCGAGTTGAAGCAAAAAAAAAAAAAAAAATGTGATCAATGTATTTAATTACACCATGCCGGTTTATATTTATGAAGCACAATAATAAAGAGTGCCGCTTTTTCTGACATGAAACACACATTTTTTGTTTTGAGCGCGATCACGGCACCAATTCCAGTCGTATCTCAAGGCATCGCCAGAAAACAAAACCAGGTCATATGATGAGGGTATGTTAGGCGCAAAAAAAAAAAAAAAAGAAAATTTGCGGTGGCTGAATTGGATGTGCGCGCGGCTGCCACATGCTGCAGCACCTGACATTTGGGGAGCAGATGTCGAAGCGGCCGCCCCTCCGGAACCTCCCAGGTGGCATGTCGTGGAAAGCGCCTGGTCCTAAAACAGAAGGCCAGTGACTCTTTCCTTCCGAGGGTGGCAAAACCTTCACCGGGACGACCATTTCTCGGGATAATTCTTCTTGGCAAGCGTTGCGACGACGCTGTGTTCCACATTATTAGGCAAACAAGCGCATCTTGAGGACATGAGAAGAGCTTGCCAATCCTCATTTATTTCAGCTGCTATTTCAAAAGTGACATTTAGAATGTATAGAATGGAAATTATGGAATATGACATATGCAAATGATTTGAAATAGAGATCTGCGGAAATTGAATTTGTCTTTGTTGTTAGTGCGAACGTCCCCAACCTTTTGAGAAGTGAAAGCGACTTCTTGGGTCCCGTTAAATGCAAAGGGGCTACTTGTGAAAAAAAGCATTCTTCCAATTATGACAGAAGAATATCGACAGGATACTTTCTCATAATATTGATCAAAGATGTTTTGAGATCGGAGCGGGAAAAATATCGACAAAATCTCTACAAGTGTTTGCATTGTTCAATGAGCTCTTCAACAACATTTCGAGGAAATCACAATGTCTCATTCATGGCGAGCTCGTTTTTCATTTGGACCATGATTGTCTGCTGTCAGCTTAACAAATTTGAAAAAATCAATCAATCAATCAATCAATGACTGAAATATATGAATTCCCATTTTCCTAAAGAGTCGATATGAGCAACAGTAATAATTTTTTTTTTTTTTTTTTTTTTACAATAAGCAGTTGTACTTTCTTTGTCATGCGGATTTTGTTTTTGCTCCTTTGTTTTGGGTGCAAAATTACTTTTTAAAAAACAGCGCTCCGTGTTATGCACCAAAACCAAAATCAAATGAACAAAATGTCTTGTTTTGTTGTTGTTTTTTTTTTTTGCATGAGATGGGCGACATTTCCAAAGAGGCCTCTTTTTTTAAGGACACTCCACGAGTTCTCGGTGGGGTTGCGGTCAGGGGATACTACATTTTTCTCCCTGTCAAATATTTAACCGACATGGGTAATAATTTGGAACACAGCGTACAGAAATGACTTTTTTTTCTCTTTTTTTTTTTTTAACAGTGCATGCTACTTGTAAGTGCCTCCAGTGGACTGTTGGGTCTGACCTTGCAAAACGAGCGGAGGAAAACGCACGTCCACGTCCGCCTTGCTGCAGGGCATCAAACGTCAACAAGGTAACCGAACGTCTTGGAGAAGTGGGGGCGGGGGT